AAAAAGCCTTCCAGGCCCTCCCTGGTGGCGCAATGGGTTAAAGCACAGCACTATGAAGTGAGCTGCAGCCTCTTCATGAGTTCTATCTCCCCCCCAGGAGATGACCACATGGCATCATGACCTCTCCTGACCTGCCCACTGCTCCCCTCAGCAGTGTACTTCCCTGTTCTGCTCCCCACTCTGTCTCTGGTGAATCTTCTCACCGCCCCTGCACCTCTGGCCTCTACCCCACTTCTGTATGCATAAATAAATAAATCTTTAAAAAAAAAAAGTTCCCCCAGGTAGCCAGGCAGTGGGGGAGGGAGGGTAATAAACCAAGACAGAGCTTCCAAGTCACTTCTTGTTGGCTGTGGAAGGAATCTCGCCATCCTTCTCAAACTGCACTCAAGGCTGGAGCATGCTCTGAGAGCGAGGCAGGAGAGCAAGCCCACTGGGCACTGTGGTAAATTTGGGGGCAGCACCTGAGGCCGGTCAGGCCCCTGAGGAGGTCAGCTGGGATTCATCATCACCTGAGGCTGGTCAAGCCCCCGATGCAGGATTCCTCAGCCCTGGATCAGCAGAGGCTCAGGGAGGGGAGGTGGGAGCCAGGGTTGTCTCTCAGGGCACATTCCCAGCATAGGTGGGGGGAGGGGTGCAGGGGGGTGCTCTTTCCAAGGGTCTGCTGGGGCTGGCCTCTGCCTGGGAGCAGACCTTCCAGGGAAGACAACAGAAACCTCAGCATTCATCCTGGGGAAACAACTCAGAACCCAGCACTGTCCCACCCATCCTCAACCCCAAAACATCCCACAGGAGGCTTTTCCCTCAGCAAGAGGGAGCCCGCCGGCTGCAGCCACCTTCCCTGCCCCGCCACACTGGTCCTTCCTCTGGTCTCCGGACATTCGCAAGGGCCTGGCAGAGAAACTTGCCCCAAAAGTAGATGTTTTTGTAGTTGTTCTATTTACCTGTTTCCTCCTCTCTTCTCTTTCCTTGTTTTTTTTTTCTTTCTTTTTTCCTCATTCTTAAATTCATGAGAATAGAAAATGTAATTTTTTGTTTTCTGCTTGACAGTAAGTGATTTTTATAAAGTCTGGACAAAGAGTGAAATGAAAACAAACCCTTAACGCGCTCCCAGTTTACAGGCATACCATCCTTGACTTTGCAGGGGTGAAAGAATTTCAGTGATTAAAATACTGGGATGCAGGGAGATTTTTCTCTACTATGGTCAAAACAAGAGTCCCAGACTTCCTTCTCTCAAGAAGAAATAGCCCATCACACATCAGGCAGTGGTGCTGGCTTGTTTGACTGTTTATGTTACCATGTGTTTGCGATAATTTAGGAAGCATCATAAGAGGAAAAATTAACTCACGTGGTTTGGCCCAAGTCTTCCAGCAAGAGATTAGTCTTGCTATCCAAGACAGACACAATGTGATACGTGTCCTCAGAACTTCTCTTCCAATAGCTCATGGGATGATGGTCTTCCTCAAACATGGCTCTAGAAACTCAACTACTATCCCACAAGGACAGAACAGTAGCAACTGCCAGCAATTCCCCCCAAAACAGTGTGGGAGGTGAAAGAGAAACAGAGTATCTGAAGTCCCTCAAAATATCTCCTCAATTGTATTTATTAATTACAATGGGAAAAGAAGCAATTTTATAAGGTCACTTAACTGTGTGAATGGGATGTTTGTGTAGCCTCCAAATTTCATATATTGAAGCCCTAACACCAAATATGATAGTAGTATTAAGAATTAGGGTCTTGGCCCTTCCTGGTGGCGCAGCGGGTTAAAGCACAGCACTGAGAATATAAAGCCGCTTCCGCATGAGTTCGATTCCCGCCTGCCCTGGAGGTGACCACATGGCGAGGCAGACCTCTCCTGACCTGCCCGCTGCTCGCTGCTCCTCGTCAATCTGCCTGTTCTGCTCTCCACTCTGTCTCTGGTGAATCCTCTCACCACCCCTGAGCCTCTGGCCTGTACCCCAATTCTGTATGCATAAATAAATAAATCTTTAAAAAAAAGAATTAGGGTCTTTGGGGGTGAGTAGGTCTAGGGGAGGTCAGGAGGGTAGGGTCCTTCTGATATATTCTCTCTCTCTCCACACATAGCAAGAAGACTCACTCAAAACCATCCATGCTTGCACCCTGGTTTCAGACTTCTGGTCTCTAGAACTGGAGAAAATAAATTTCTGTAGTTTGCTATTTTGTTAGAAGCAGTCTGAGCTCACTAAGACATTAACCAGGAAGGCACTCAATGATAGCATAACCAGCAATGAGACATGTGACGTGTTCCTGACATGGTCACTAAGCTCACCCCTGCGGTGTTCCTGCTAACACTGTACAATGTCCCACATTGCTGAACACACACGGGGGTGCACATTCTACAAAACCCTTGATTGGTGCTCAACGGACCTGTCAATGTCATGGAAGACGAGGAGAGAGCAAAGACTTGCCAAAGGTGGAAGAAGTCAAGAAAGGCGTGATGACTGACTGCAAGGTGGGATCCTGGACTGAACTCGAAGCAGAGGATTGTGGGGAAGGGGGTGACACAGAAGTGAAGCCTTAAGTTACATGCACTGTCCCAGTGTTAACCACCCTAGGCTGGGACATTATAGGCAAGTGGTGCATTAACACCAGGAGAGGCTGAGGGGATGGGTATTCTCTGTACTATTTTCATACCTCTTCTCCAAAACTTCTTCAAAACAAGCTAACAAAAAAAGGTTTAAAGACATGTTGTATCTGACAAGATATAGCTCAGCCTCATTAAAGGTGGCGAGGTTATCTCCAGAACCTTATCAACTCCAAAGCTATGATCGGATATATCAGATAGGGAACCTCTTTACATGGACAGGATGGTGACAATTCCATGGGGGGGGCATAAGGGACCCCAAGATCTGGCACTAGCACACACTGAGTTGCCAGGAACAATGCAAGACCACCACTGATCCCTAAGGACAGGCCCAAGGGGAGAGTGTCCAAGGAGGGGCAGCTAAGGAGTGAGGGAGCACTCACTGGAGGGACTCTGTGTTAAAAGGTACTGGACGGGGCCCTCCCTGGTGGTGCAATGGGTTAGGACACAGCACTGTGAAGCTTGTAGTAGCCACTTCAGCGCCAGTTCGATCTCCCGCCAGGGAGGTGACCCACAAAGTGTAGCAGACCTCTCCTGATCCGCCCGCTGCTTCCCTAAGCAGTATAGCTCATAGGTTTGCCTGTTCTGCTCCCCACTCTGTTTCTGGTGAAGCCTCTCACCACTCCTGCACCTCTGGCCTGTACCCCAGTTCTGTAGGCATGAATAAATAAATCTTTTTAAAAAAGAAAAAAGGGGCCCTCCCTGGTGGCGCAGTGGGTTAAAGCACAACACTGAGAAGCTAAAGCCACTT